GCGGCGCGGCCCGTGGGAGGCTCGGCGGGCGGGGGGGAGGGAGGGACGGCGGCGGCGGGCGCGCAGCGTCGCCAGGGCGAAGCCGGCGTGCGGCGCGGCGCGGCGGGCGCGGAGCGAGCGAGCGAGCGAGCGCCTCCGTCCCCGGATGTGAGCTCGGGGCGCCCGCGGTCCCGAGCCAGCGGCGGCGCGGGCGGCGGCGGCGGCGGGCACTGGGCACCGCGGCGGGCGGGCGGGAATGGGGGGCGCTCCGAGCGGCCCCGGCGGCCGGGCCGGCATCTCCGCGGCGTCCCTCCGCTAGAGGAGGGGACCAAGCCAATTCTCCTTTGCAGCAAAAAATTACATGTATATATTATTAAGATAATATATACATCTGATCTTATTTTTTAAAAAAAAGTTTATTTTGCTCCATTTTTGAAAAAGAGGGAGCGTGGGTGGCGAGCGGTTTTTACAAATTATTCTTATTTTCTGCTATCTGTCCCCGTCCCTCCCCACCCCCTGCTGAAGCGACAATAAGGGCAGGGACCGCGGCTCCTACCTATCGGTAACCCCCTTACCCGTTCCTTCCCCGCCCCAACGCCCAGCACCGTGCCCTGCACACAGTAGGCGCTCAATAAATGTTCGTGGATGATGATGATGATGATGATGAAAAACATGCACCATCAACGGCAGCAGCAAGCGGACCACGCGAACGGTGAGCAGCCAGAGCCTGGGCACCCGCTGCCAAATCTCATCCTTGTCATGGTCCTCCTCTTCCCACCCCCTCTTCCTTCCCACCCCCTCCCGTCTCTGATGCACTGGGTGGGTTGAGGGGGTTGGAGAGGATGCTTCTAGCTCGGTGCCATCTACATAGAAAGGGGAGATGCGTGACAGCCACTCCGTTCTCCCCTTCAGGCCTTGAATGTCAGAGTTAATTCTGCATTTGTGGGGTGGGGGCGGCCGTGGAGTCCTTGCAGTACTGTGCCGCCGGAGGGGCGGTGAGCCGAGGTGATGCGGGTTCAGTGTCCTCGGGCTCAACTTTCCTCCAACGCTCCCGAGCGATGGAAGGGGGGATGGCTGTTAGTCCTCAGCCTGAGCCCCCTTTCCAGCCTCTTCTCGTCTTCCCCTCCTTCCCCGCCCCCTGGTCTCCAGTGGCATCCGGAAAATTCTAGGATTGCCCGGTTTCCCTCTTCGCGACGGTGGGTGAAGCACACCCCGCCCCTGGAGAGGGAGGCCGGGTCTCGGAATTGCTGCCAGGGGGTCGGGTGGAGCGTATTCCCGCTCGCAGCGCCGCTGTGCACACGTAGGTAACCTAGCAATGCCCGGGGAGTTGCTGCCGCTGTGGGGCTCCTCTCCAGAGCCCGGCCTGGGCACCACGTGCAGCCACCACGCCGGCCGGGCTGGGTCGAGACCGAGGCTGGAACAGCTTCTGGTCAGCCCTCCTACCTCCTCCTTGGAGGCCGGGGGCGCCCCAACCCCCCAACCTCAGTGGGCTCACAGCCTTCCCGCGAGAGCGCTTCCCAAGGGAAGGCTCTGCACGATTCCTCCCCAGCTTGGGAGGGCTGCTGCCTGAGGCCACCCCCCCCCCCCGCCCGCCCCCCCCCCCCCCCCCCCCCCCCGCCGTGGCCCCCTTCTCAAGTTGCTGGGCAGGCCGACCTGTGCTTGCTTGGATTCTCTCTTGTTCTTAGCAAGAATTGGTTTTGGAAATGCCATCCCTCTACCTTTGCCACCACTCTCACTTTGACTTCTGTCTCAGTAAGGAGGTTGTGACTCAAGGTAGGCAAGTGCCTGGGAGACCTGCCTGGGTGGTGGCCTGACCCAAAGTCAGAAGGGGCTTTGCACATGGAGCCCCCTTGGGGTTCTGCCCTGTACTTAGATGCCAGCCTGCACTTAGGTGACTCCTGTGTGGACCTTGAGGGCCCCTGGCATAATCCATCCTGTCTTTCCTAGGTGTAGGGGTGCAGGCTGTCTGCCTTGACGGTTTCTCTGCATGCTGGCTTGGCTGCTGCGGCTGCAATTTAAAATGCAAAAAAGCCCTAAAGATGTTTTCTGTTTTCGGAAGCCTGTGGAGGAAATGAGTCCCAAGCATCATGAATTTTCATTTGCAGGAAGTGTCAGTGCATAATCTAGATATTTGTTATGGGGCTTTTGGTATTGCCCTGGTGCCAGTGGAGGATTTTTTTTTTCCCTATGCCGAAAAAAATGCATTTGTGGCTGTACAAAGATGTTGGAGTGACATCCTGAAAATGATTAAGATTATTGAGTTATTGGCACTGCCTTTTTTGTTTTTTTGTTTTTGTTTTTTTCTGGTGGTGATCATGGTAGTTATTTTGGAGAAAAGCTATTGTGCCTATCTGTTAACTCATTAGAGATCCATGGGTTTTAAGTCAGAATAGGTGGAATAAATGTGGATGGCCTCAGTTTGAAAAAAGGCACTAGCAGAGTCCTTGTGGAGACGTGGATGTACAGAGGCGCTCACCCCATTGCACCAGTGGTCCTGGGGTGCTCGGCCCGGCACGTGGCTTCTCTTCTGGCTCTGGTTGACCACAGTCCTGCTTCTGAAAAATAGGACATGAGGTTCCAAACGGAAACATGGGAACCATACCCTCCCCCCGTTATTGATGGGAGACACCTTTGCTTTTTTTCTGACATTGGATTCTCATTGTTTATTTGTTTGTTCATTTTTCCTTTTCTCCTTCTTCCCAGAGGCAAACTATGCAAGAGGCACCAGACTCCCTCTTTCTGGTGAAGGACCAACTTCTCAGCCGAATAGCTCCAAGCAAACCGTCCTGTCTTGGCAAGCTGCAATCGATGCTGCCAGACAGGCCAAGGCTGCCCAAACTATGAGCACCTCCGCACCCCCACCTGTGGGATCTCTCTCCCAAAGAAAACGTCAGCAATACGCCAAGAGCAAAAAACAGGGTAACTCGTCCAACAGCCGACCTGCCCGCGCCCTTTTCTGTTTGTCACTCAATAACCCCATCCGAAGAGCCTGCATTAGTATAGTGGAATGGAAGTATCCTTTTTTTGGGGAAGTCTTTCTCATTTTCTCTTTTACCATCTGTTCTTTAAAAGGATCTGCTTTCTGAAATGGCACTTACAAAGTCGTAGCAGTCTGGAATGTGAGCATCAGAAAAGCTCTATGTAAAGGGTTTCATTGTATATACCTTCCTATCTCCTCAGGGTGCAGAGGGCTTGCTCTATGGGTATATTTAGCCTTGTATGTGTGTGTGTGTGTGTGTGTGTGTGTGGTGATGGAGGGAGGGGGTGACAGCCTGGGACTTCAAAGTGGTAATTAAGTAGGGAATTGACCTTTGGTCATTTGGCACTAAATGGTTAGTTTAAACCCACCATTGCTTTTGGGGCTGTGATATGCATCGAACCTATTGCAAATGAGGTATGCTGATTGAAGACAAAAAGACTGTATGAGACTTCGCTAGAAATAAATAACATTTTTGACCTTTAGTGGCATCTTCCTATTCTGATGTTTAGAATTTGTTTCTGAAACTCCCAACTACTGCTGAGGTTGCTTCCAGCTCTGACATTTGCTGATCTGATTGTTCAGGTAGCTACAAATATGAACACTTGCTTCGTAGGGAGGGATCAATTTGCTCATCAATGCTATGACTTCCTGGAATTTCCTTTTGACATGTTCCAAAAAAGCATTTGAAACGTGAGCGTGAGGGAGCGTGTGGAGGGAGAGGCTTGTGTGCGCCTCTCCTTCGTGAGCCCTTGTGAATTAGAGAGCAGTCTGTCAGTGGGGGAATTTGCAGTTGCTGCCCTTATAAAACATTCTGTCTGTGTCCTTGGACTGGAGTTACATTTCTGGGTGTCTCCTTTGTATTTTTAAAACTGAACTCCAAATGCCCTAGGATGGTTGTTATGTCCCAGATCTTGGAAAACTAGGGTGCTCGGCTTGCTCACCCCCTTCCCAAATCTGGAGGCCAGTCTCCAATTGCTGCCACCCTTCAGAAAAGGTTGACTGAGGCCTCCTTTCTGAACAAATGGCTTTCTAATTAGTCAGATGATTCATTGGTCTGGGTAAAACAAAGCATTTCCTTTTCCCAGAAGTGTATTTGGGACCGACAGGAGCTTTAGAGTAGTTCCTGAGCATAGGAAGGAGTGTGAATGTCGGGCTTCCCCCACCATACCCAGGGTGAAGGGGCTCACAAGGGAGGATATTGGCCACCAGCTGGAAGGTGGAACTGTAACCCCCTTATAACCTGAGCGCCTAGTGTGGGTGCTCTTTGCGGGCCTTCTGCTGTAGCCGGCTGTTTTCTGTGCTCACGGACACACGTTAGAATGAGGTAACTTTGCCTAGAAAGGTTTTGGAGAGGGCAGCCAAATGCAAAGGTAGGGTTTGCGGGGTTTTCATGTGCTTCTCCTTTTTAGAACAGATGTCTCCTCTCTGGAGGGAGTTACAGTGTCTCTCACATGGCTGGGAGTGCATGGATATGTTTTCTGTGTAAGTTCTCTCCTATTCTGAGAATGAACGCTAGGGTCAACCCGGAGGCCGCTGGGTGCATAGGGCGTGCCTCGGTGGCATCGCTGGAGTCGGAAGCATGTTTACACTCAGCCAGAAAGCTCCCCTCCTGGCTTGACACGACTCCGGGTAAGCAGAGACCTCTCTGGGGCCATTCATTCCATGGAGAGTGAAGTGGGAGGCCTGCCGCTGTTTCTCTTCGTGCATACTAATTTGCCTATCGCAATTTATGTGTGCAGAGTGAATTCCGGGATCATGCTGCTGACTCCCTTTCCCGCATGGCCAGACACATGTGTACAGGAACTAGGGGATATGGCTGCCTACAAATGGGACAGTCTGTAGAACAGATCTTTAAACAACATATGATCTGTTTGTCTTTCCCAGTGACAGTTGCCTTCTAGTTCAGGGAGCAGGTTATAGAAATTCTCCGAAAGCCGGCTGTGCCAGGCCCATTCCGCACTGGGAGAGTGAGACCCTCGCTGGTTTGTACACCCAGACAGGGCAAGAACGTCCTGCGTCTTTGGGGAATGAGGAGCGCTGGCCTTATCAGGAGGAATTTTGGGGAGCAGGCCCATATAGTTATCGCTCTGTTCGGCATGACTTGTAAATATCTTGTGGCAGTCAGATAGTTATCCACCAATACCTGGCAGCTGAAGCCGGACCACCATAAAGAAAAAAAAGTGTTTGGCTTTCCTAAACAGCATTGGTATTTCTCGGGTTTGCTGGTCTGTCATTTAAGTATTGGGAACGAAAAAGGAGGAACGGTGGTATGGGGGTGGGGGAGGACAGGAGAGACCACAGGTGTGTTTCTGTGTAGGCTAACACTGGGGCAACGGGTTTTTAAATTTTCAGGAGGAATGGCAAAAAAGAAAAGTGGAAAGAGGATCCTGAAATCTTCTGAAGGGGAACTGTCTTAAGTTTGGATCCTTGGATAAGAGATTTTGTAATACTAGATGAGTTAAAAGAATAAATATGAGTGAAAGCTAATTGGCTTTAAAAAATAAACCCATCGAAATTAGTGAGAGAAGAATGTCATTCATGTCCTTATTTCAGTGAGTGTCAAAACACTTTTTAAGGGGCTGATTTTTCATGAGACTCAGGGTATCCCAAGAGAGGTAGGGGGCCTTTGTTTCCTTCAGCACTTTTGGATTTCGCAGAAGAATATCAGGATGGATGGAGAAGGGTCTGTTCACATCCTCAAAGCTTTAGTACTTGGAGATGTTTAGTTAAACCAGTGGCATTGCCTTTTGTGAGTGAGGTTATGGCAGAAACACTTATAAAATCAAGCCACCCTCTTTCCCCACCAAGTTGCAGATTATGTTGGTGCTCAGAAACCTTGAATTCGGAAAGCCTGAAAGCGAAAAGAAGAAAAACAGTCATTCTGGCAGAAGTCAAATTTTGCATTGCCAGTTTTGACAATGTCTCTTAATAACACCAGAATGTTGAAGCAAGTATCTGTTGCAAGCTGATTTCAAAGTGATTTCTTCCAGACAGACCCCCGAGATTTAGAATTGTTCAATTGTACTTTCAAAGTGTCTGGTGCTGATTTCTTACGGCTTTTTATTTAATTTGTTTATAAATTGAACGCAGTAACAGCTCATTAGAAACGGAGCTCCAGTCCAGCTGTAATCCGAAACAGTGATAGGCATTGATTAGTAAAGGAAGCAGAGGGGGAGCTGGAGCCTGGCTTGCTTGTTACAGTGTCGGAGGTATTGGAACATGCCACAAGACGGTCACAGGTAGGATGTAGAATGGTGCCTTGGCCTGCCCCGGTCCAGACAGGAGACTGACCCAGCCAAGAATAGCCCCCGAGAAAATGGTTTTAACACATGGAGGCAAGGATTTGTGGAAGAGATTTGTCTCATGAGGACTTCTCTTTGTGTCTACAACAGCCAGGAACGTTGTGTTCTCAGGTCTTTGTCGCTTTTAAAACTTTAAGAAGCAGAAACATGGGTCATAGGGTGCCCTCATCGGATGCGTGTTTAGGTTTCAATATAAAATGCACAGCAAAGAATGAGCATAACATGATCCTTGCAAGAGAAGGAAAGGACATGGAAAAGTCATTCGATAGGAAGATCTGCCAGATGACCATGGACGATTATGTTTGCCGGAGACATCGTGGTCCTAACAGTCGGCTGAGAAAGGACTTGTGTGCATAATTTTCATTTCTAAAAAGATTTAAGAGTGGTGTGATTGAAAGTGTGATGAGAGAGATGGCTAATGTTTGCATAAGACATATATGCCTTAACAACATTTTTCAGACCATTTGACATATTTATATTATTGGCTATTTTTGCCAATTGTGTGGCCTTAGCTATTTACATCCCATTCCCCGAAGATGATTCTAATTCAACAAATCATAACTTGGTAAGTGCTAGAGTTCCTGCTTGTCCTGATGTGTGGTTATCATTTTCCTCTCTACTTAAACTGGCAGCTGGCTTTCTGGGTGGTTGAAGTTTACAGATACGCATGTGATGTTTCCTGAAGCTTTGCAACAGCGGGTTTGTTTGTGTTATTTTTTTTTTTTCCTCTGACCTGTATTCTCAAATTTATACTGAATGAAAGTGTTTAAAGTCATGAATCTTGCATTAATAGATGTGGCACTTTTTTATGGAAGAGGTTTGTAGCAGATTTTAAAATAACTTTTCTCTCCATATAGGCTTTTGCTGTCTACCATTCTTTTCTGGATAATATTAGCTGCTTTTTTTTTTTTTTTTTTTTTTTTTTTTAAATCCAGTGTTTATTTAGGAGTGGTGGGTATTTTGTTTGGTCAATTTCTCTGGTAAGTAGAGAATTATCATACATTTTGTACACGAACTATTCATTTTTAGAGCATCAGAATACAACAGAATGAATAGATCTACATGGAACATAATTTGGAGATTACAGTGTAGTATTCCACTAGGAGTATCCTATGAAGATCCATTTTATCCCAAGATAAAATGGTTCTAGGGTTAAATAAATTGGGATACTTCCACATACTTCATTGCCCTCTTAGAGATTTATAGTGCACATTAGCTCAGTAAGAGCTCCGGGAAGGTCTGTAGTTAAAAAACTAGTTTCATTTTGTTTAACTCAGCTAGTCCCAAAAGTAATTGGTCATGGATTCTTCAAACAGTTTTTTGGCAGAACACATCACGAAACCAGTGTTTCATGAAACTTCCTTGGGGAAAGGTTGATATAGTTTAAAAAAAAAAAAAAAAAAGAAAAAGAGCCCGAAAGAACACCAGAGTTGGGACTAGGAGCTTGTCCCACCGAGCTGGGACAACTAGCTGTGTTTTGAGGGGCATTTCCCAAATCCTTTCTGTGTTGCCATTCACCCACTTGTCAAGGGAGCTGGATAAGAAGATAACTTGGGATCGTGTTTACCTCTGACATTCTGTAATCTTTTCTTGATGATTCAGAAGCCATGTCAGGATTTTTCTGGAGTGTAGCATCCTCCTTGGGGGAGGCTGTGCAGAAAGGCAAGTGGAGCAGGGGGGCCAATGCTGGGTAACAGGGAGCTCTTTCTCTCTCTTTTTTGCTCTCTCCTCTTTTATTTTTTTATTTTTTCTAAAGAGTGTATTTATTTATTTGACAGAGAGAGACACAGTGAGAGAGGGAACGCAAGCAGGGGGAGTGGGAGAGGGAGAAGCAGGCTTCCCGCAGAGCAGGAAGCCCGATGCGGGGCTCGATCCCAGGACCCTGGGATCATGACCTGAGCCGAAGGCAGACGCCTAATGACTGAGCCACCCAGGCACCCCTGCTCTCTCCTCTTTTAGCTAGATTCATCTGTTTCTGGTTTCCCATGTTGAAGCTGTATTTGAGTAGGGTGGCTGTTTGTAACTAAGTGAGTGGTGTAAAGGCAGAACTGGTGTGTGTGTGTGGTGGGGGGGCTCTGCGGGGTTCTGAAGATACTGAAGTTATGCTTTTGTGATTTTAGCCTCAATGGTTTATATACCGGATTTCATGTTACATATTGTGTAAAATGTGCGATATGTCAGGTAGAACATGATGTCCATTCATATTTGGGCTTTTATAGTCTGATTTCTAGAGAATGTAAAAAAGTTTTGGGTATTGCTACTGAAAATATAACTCAACAGGAGTTGGATACACATATACACGTTTGCCACTAGTGTGGATTTATGCTATGCTAGAGGTGATTTGTGTGCTTTGGGATATTTTAAACAGCTTCTGATTTGGTCGTGGACACGTGATATTAGATGATCATTTTAAAGGAAGAGCAGAAGTGGCGAAAAGCCCCCATCAATGGGGATGGATCAGCAGAGTCTAGACCACAGATGGTGTCAGCCTTGTTACCAAATTTAACAACGTGGATGGTGACCCAGTTTGTTGCTTTTTGTAGCTCAAGAGAACATGATTAAACAAACTTAGAAAATAAATACCTTTCAGAAAGGCAGATTAATTCAGATCAATGGAATAATTAATGTAGCTGTGTGTGTAAGCCAATTAATATTCTGATTTTTCCCAGGGAAATTCAGGGCACTGATATCTGCCGTCAGACCGTTTGGATTTCTCAGCTAATGAGTAAGGGAATAAAATATAGGAAATGGATAAATCTCTCTTCTCCTTTGCAATCCCTCCCTAGCGGATGCTTTCTTAACAATTCTTAAATGGTGGTATTTTAAGGGCGGGGAGGGAGGCAGTGTATTCGTTTGGCAGGCCTTTCTAAAAACCAACATATACTCCTTTGACCTCTCACTGTTCTGAAACTCATAGCATTTGAGTTTCTGTCTTGTTTCACTTGGATGGTCACGTGGCCAGAGGAGTTTATTCTCTGCTTGACTCTTTAAATATTTCCTTTCCCACTGTGGGAAGGGAAGATCTTTGTGGATTTCCCCCTGACTCTTTACAAGGTCCCATGGCATGTCAGTGCTCCCGCCAGGGAGCCAGGTTTTTTTTTTTAATACATTTGACCCATTTTGTACCAAAGTGATTGCTCTATTTTTGGGATCGGTTTAGAGGCGGCCGAACGAAGCTTATTTTTCATCTGTAGTAAATACCTTTCAGTTAACGTGAATGGCAAATCGAAGGGCAGAGACCGATATGGGTTGCAAAGCTGCACGTGTCAGGGAGTTGGTGGTTTTCTTTGCTTCGTAGCTCTGTGGGAAATGTGTATGTTGAACCCTTAGAGCCTGCTTTGTTGCCAAGCTGTGTCTGCCTCTTATAGGTCATTTGTAGTGACGCGATTAGTTCTATCGGGTAAGAAAGGTGGCCATCCCCATCGGGCCAATGTGTGTTTGGTCTGGGTTGCTTGTAACTGAGCCAGCTTTGGGAGTCTGGAGACTACCTTGGGGGCAGCAAGTTTTCCCAGGGTTAGGTTTTTTTTTTTTTTTTTTAAATATAAACAGTATCAAATTTCTATGCAGTTTCATTTGTGGACTTGCAGGGACTAGTGGAGGTTGAAGCCATGGAAACGGTACAACTGAGTTCCCACAGTGAGACCCTTCTTGGCTCAGTCTATAACACTAGCTCCTCAGTTCCACTTATTGCAAGTGTATATCATTTATTTAATTTCTTCTTAGCCCGGGGTGGGGAGCAGTGGGGAGCTCTGCTTTCCAGAGCATCAAAGGGGGGCTGCTTACAATCCTGTGCTTCACTGTTGAAGAACGCTCTATTTGGCTTCCCAGACTTCAGTGTCTCAGAGGTGGATGGATGCGGTTAAAGTTGTCTGTCCTGCCTGCTCCTGGTGCTCCCCGGCCCCAGGCTGAGCGCCGCGGTCTGTAGTGCCCAGTCGCCTCCAATTAGAACCATCCCACATCGGGGTGCTCATCTGCCCGTTTGGACCTCTCCTGATATCTGCAAATGACACCAGCCCCGGAGGGTGAGGCCTGTGGTCCAGGCCTCTCGACCCCTTTATCAGGCACAGTGGCTTCTACCAGGGGCTCCGGAAATCCTCCTTTAATTCAGCAGGAACTTTTATGGAGTCTTTGACCCCTTTCCCGCCCCCTTCCTCCTCTTGTCGTTGCAGCCTGTTTTTTTTTTTTTTTTCTTTAGCCCGTTGACATTTTGCCCCTGCAGAACCCTGCGCATCTTCCTCCCCATCCACACCCCTGTAGTGTGGCCAGGTCCTCCTGGGCTGTCTGAGCTTTCTGAGTCCCTCCTTCCCAGCAGTGCCCACCCCCCCCGTTTGCCCACCCATAGTTCCTAAACACTCCTTCCGTGTTCTTGCCCACCTTCTAGCCTCTTCTCTGCCTGTAGTGTCTCTTCCACTCCGGCCCCTGGAGGAATTCAGGAACCGTCTCAAACTCTGTCTCTTCCACGACGGCTTTTCCCACCCTGATCTGAAGGAACGCTCTTATCCAAACCTCTCTCGTGACCCTTCACATACAAAATACCCTATGTTTTAGTTCCTCATGTGCATGTCTTATCTCGATTTTACCAAGCATCTTCAGAATACAATTCTTAGTGAATCATTTTGGAATCACTGGGGGGTACGAAGTAGCTGTTCAGTAAACACATGTTGCTGTGACTGCCAGGAGAAGAGCCTCACCCCTTCTTTCCTCTGGCCTGTATTCAGGATTTCCTTGGGTGGCAGGTCCCTCTGTGGACTCCTTGGAGGTCCTTAGCTGGGAGCTGGTGGGACGTTGTAAGTGCTTGTTCCTGAAAAGCTTCGGGTCTTGTGACTCTGCTTCTCGAACTCCTCTGGCTGAAGGAGCCCCGGGAGCCGAGTGTCAGAGCTGAGCCATCTAGCACATTTTGTGCTCGAAGTAGCCAAGGGGTGGGGGCGCCTCTTGGCAGTGGGACCATTGTAAGGTGTCTTACAATGGCCAGGAATGTTATGGGACAGAGTACTCTGCTTGCCTTCTCTCTTCCACGGCTGAGATCCCAATGCAAGGTGTTTCCTGGGCTTACAAAGTGAGCTCATTGGATCTGCTTGGTCCTATAGTTTGGCATCTCACAGTTTTTGCGCATAGGGGGACTTACTGAAACATGGTTTCGTAACTTGGTTCATTGGGCTTAGCCTATAAGGTGGGTTTTAGTTCTGTACCTTCCGCACAGTGTATCTTTGCTCTGTTGTCTTTCTGTTTGAACTGTGTGCTCTTATTTCTGTCCGACTAGATTCTGTCTGTTCTAGGACACAGCTCCTGTGCTGCCCCCTCAGCTCAGCCTCCCCTGAGCCTCATCCACTTCTGCCTCCCACCCCACCTGCCTGAGTTTAAGTACTGGTTTTCCCTCTGCCCTCCTGTAAGCATGGTAAACTCTCCTCTTTATGTTCATTTGCCCTTTTCCGCCTCTTTTTATAACTGCTACGGGGAGTGGTTTGGTGGGTGGTGGTTCTGCACATGCGCTCTGGGGTCTTTGGCTCATTAGCTGAATGACTCTGGATGAAACCAGCGTATGAGTTCCCGGAGACAGAGGCTGGT